AGAGTTTAAACCCTTTGATCCCAAAACTGTACCCCAGAAAAACTGCTTTCACTGCTCTAGGTGAGAATTTAGGCCTATTTGTGTCAACAACAATGGCAAAATCTAAGCAGCCAAACACGCTCAGACTACTATAATTAGGTGGTATACCATACAAGCATTCAAAAGGAGAGTTGTCTTCTAAAACAGGTCATGGAATTCAATTTATCAGATATGCAGCATGAAGAACCAAGTAACTCCAAAAACTAGTTGGTAACCCTCATTGGAACTTTAGTGACCTAGGAACATTTAGCAAATGTTGGTGCTTCCTCTAAACCCTTCCATTTTATTGAGTCATCTCATGAACTATTCCTTCCTTCTGATAAAACTCAATCATATAAAACTCATGTCCTTGGTCTGTTCTAATGACCTTAACTTGCTTCTCAAATTGAGTTTTCACCATTGCACAGAAGGATTGTAATGAAGAACGTGCTTGAGATTTAGAGCTCAATAAGTAAAGCCAAATACAACGACTTTGGTCATCCACAATAGTTAAGAAATACTGAAATCCATCATGAGAAATACATCCACAGGACCCCATAGGTCAGCATGAATAATGTCAAACACAGAATTGGACGTAGATGTACTTCTAGGAAATTATAGGAGTTTCTGTTTTGCCAAATGACATATCTCACAATCAAAACTCACATGTGAACTAATCTCATTACAAATTTTATTCACTGCTTGCAATCTAGAAAAAGACAGGTGGCCTAATCTTTGATGCCACAGACTGGAACTGGAACTAGTACTGATGTTTACTCCAAGAACTTGGGGGCTGCAAGTCTCTCCAGGGTGATTCTCTCCAAGAAGATACAGGCATCTACTTACTGGGATTAAACCAATACTCTGTTGAGATATGAGGTCTTGTATATGACAAAAGGTGGATTGAAACAAAAGCGAGACTGGGCAATTTTTGGTGAGTTGGCTGACTGAAATCAAGTTGTAAGAAAAGGAAGGTACTAGAAGCACATTATTTAAGAGAATACCACAAGGAAGCTTCACTATTCCTATATGAGTGGCTGGAGCATGATGACCATTTGGTAAAGTTACCAACATCTTCTATTTGCTTACATCTTAGGAAACGTTTAATAGAGTAGATAATATGGTCACTAGCTCCTGTATCTAGTACCCAAAACACCTCATCACCACACGACTTTAGGGTAGAGAGTGCTATTGTACCTGCCATTGCAGAGTTTTTCCTGGTCAGGGCAGAATTGGCTTGATTTGTGTTGTGAGCAGAAGGTAAATGAAGCAATACCTTAAGCCTTGTAAGTTCATCAAAAGTGAAACCAGAGAAAGTTGGTGATCCTAACTCAAGTTGACTAGCTGGACTAGTTGGACTGAAATTGCTTGCTCCTCCTAAAGAGTTCACCTCTGCTACATTAACATCAACCAAACACGCAAAACCCCTTCCTCGTCCTGGATTTTCCCCTGAGTTTGGAGTATTCCCCAACAAACCATTCTTCTTTGTAAGCTTCCAACAATCTTTCTTGACATGGTTGTCCCTTTTGCAATATCGACAAAATAATCCAGTTGGTTGACCATAATCAGCATGACCCTTATGGCCTTATCTCGAGGCTAGTTGTATTGAGATCTAGAGGCTGCCAATGTTGTTGCTAGTGCAATAGCTTCTTCTGATTTTCCAGCATTAGCTTTGGCCCCATTAAGCTGACTCTCCAGCTGAACCACAGAATGATACACACTATCCAAATTTAGAAGTGGATCTAACATGAGCATTTAAGTCTTGACCTGTTGATATTTTTCATTCAATCCAAGAAAAATACAATAACCCTTCCTCTCCCTTGATACATCATAATAGTTTCATAAGTATGAGATGCACAATCACAGTAAGGAATAGGAAGGCAATTATCAAGTTCATCCCAACAAAGATTCAAATTAGTGTGATACTCTCAAATAGACTCATTTCCTTGCTTAACTAGATCAATTTCTCCTGTAGATTTTCAATTCGAACAGAATCCCCTTGACTGAACTTACCCTTCAAGTAAGTCCAGGCCTCAGATGCAACCTTGATGTTTCACAGACTAGGCACAATATTATGAGACACAGAATTTCTAATCCAACAAACCACAATACCATTAACACGATCCCAGGTCCCGTAACTCGGATCAGTAACATGAGGTACCTTGATTGTGCCTACGATGAAGCCTAGCTTGTTCTGAGGGAGACTTCTATGGACTCGCTCCACAGAAGGTAGTTGTCATCTGTCAACTTGAAACCGATAATGGGTAGAAATGAATTGTCACTCTGGGAAAGGTAGAAAGAAACAAAGAGGAAAAGGGAAGAACGAGGTGGTACAGAAATCAAGCTGGTATGAGCCAACCAGACTCTGATACCATGTTAGCGAACTAACCACTTGGTCCCAATAACTTGAGTTGCTGGAGAGATTTGGGTCTGGTGGTCGATAGTGGCTATGGATCTCAAGCTGGTTGTTGAGGGGCGGACAACGGTAGAGACTGGGGATAATGACAACGACGGACTAGTCAAGGCCTCTCCCTCACCTTTCTGTACGCCGTCGAAGAAACCCAACCCCCCCCCCCCCCCAACCGACGAAGAAGAAAAGATGGGATTGTCACCAAGATTGGGTGGTCGAGTTTGTTGTCGGCATTGGGTTTGACAAAATCAAGTAGGCGAGATTCTCGTCGGGATTGGGTTAGGGAAAGGGGATTTGGAAATTTGGGTTTTTTTTTTGTGTTCTGGGCATTGGATCCCGGAAGAAAAATGAACAAGTAGAGAAGATGGATTTCTGGTGTGGAAATGGAAATGAGATAAAATTTATTTTGTTTGAGTGGGTCAGTTCCTTGGACGAGCTGGTTTAAGGGTTGGGTTGGATGAGGTGACATGGCGGGTTTTAATGATATGGCAGGTCGGGTTTCATTATTTCCAGGTTAAATTAGGTTGATTAGACCATTCTGTTAGCCACGTCATCAAACAACGAACTTAGCTAACAACGAAGGACGGAGACTAACGGAGAGTGGACAAATTTGGATTGTTTTACTAAATATAGTGACCATGAATAAAATTAAATATTTGTAGTGACTACATGAACCTTTTTTGTAATTCAAGTGACCAACCTTACAATTTACCCAAAGAAAGTGGTATGGAACACGTTTCTATTTAATATTATTTTATAATATCATTTTTGTAAAAGTAATATAATTTATATTCATTAGAGGTGTGGAGGAAGAATTTTTGACCTTTTCTTTTAAGGATAATTTTTTATTTGGGGGAAGTAAAAAGTTACTTTAGCCTAAAAATTATTGGACTTTGCTACGGTGACTTGCAAGTCACCGTAACTTGCACTTTTCGGTCAACCTCATTTAAGATTAGGTCGACCTAATATGTTTTTATTGTGTAAAAACAGTTTCATAGTGCCTACTTTGGAGATTCATATCTTACCATTGGCTTGATAGAAATTGGAGATTAATGGCTTGTTTTGAAGCTGGAGTGACCCTCTACACATTAAAGTACTTGGGAGCTCAATAGGAAGTCCATAAGACAATTTTTGAAAATGGCTATGCCAAAACTGGGAAACAGCCTGAAAATGGCCAAGTCTGGGAACGTGTTTGTGAAGCCTACTTTGGAGATCTTAAGCGACTAGCTGAAGCATTGTCTTCCTTTTATCGGTCGAGATGCGGCTGTTCTAGGGGTTTGGATCAAGAAGCGGCGGGGAAGGAGGCTGAGTTTTGTTGCTGGCTTTGCTGCCGATGCGTGGAGGTTGCGTCAGGGGAAGTGACGAAGATAGAGTAGGAGCTAGCGGGATGCAACTGCTTTGGCGTTGGTTTGAAGTTGCTGAGACTGGGATGGTAAGCAAAGACGTGGGAGCAGCGGGTCTAAATCAATTACGTCTGGTGATGGCCGGGGGGTGGGGCGGATTATGTTTGTGCAAAATAATAATAGAAGGGCACACTTGTTAACTTGTTAATTTGTTCATTTCCCTCCATTTTCTTTCCTTCCTTTAGAAACAATGGGTAACAGTATACCACCTCGATTTTTAAGTCAGGGGTCATTGTTAGGGAAGAGTCTGAATTTGGCAGGAAAATCAAAATCAGCTCATAGCTCAATACAAGCCCCAGTAAATCCTTACTGACTCCACACTCGAGTCTTCTGGTCCATCCAAATGGCTTTCCAATTGTGCTCGCTACCCACTCCAAACCTCATGCGACAAATATTCCAAAGAAACCCCAAATCCCGACCCATGTCGAGAGATTTTTAACCCTAGAAGCTATCGGCTAAATACCAGGCCTTCGTTTATGGAAAACACTGGTTTCCCAAATAATGCCACGACCCTGAATAGAATACCCAATTAGATGAAGCTTGAGAGGGAAATTGGAAAATAAGTATCTTATGACCGAATCGTAAGACCCTTACCATACCATCTCTCCCCCAAAATGGGTTTTTAATGCCCGAAGTGTAGGATCTTTGGCCTTGACCCAACGAACTGATCAATGAGCGAGTCCTTCCACAATTGTGCACCCTTCTCTTTCACCTCCTTATGGAGTCGAAAACCATCTTTAACTCTCTATGGGTGACAAAATTGAAGTCCATTCTCCAAAGTAACATCAAAGAGTTGTGGCCAGTTCGAGCCGTCACTAGTCAGCGTCTAGTCCGATGCTGAGGCAACCTTCTTCAATAGAAAATTCTAGATTTTGTATATAGAAAAGAGTAGAGAGAAAGAAGAGAAATCTGTATGTTTACTCCAGATCCTTATTAATCCATTGAAGTCTTCCAACTATGTTAAACCAGAACAAAGTTAAACATAACATGAAATCATTGTCCATTTCCATTTTTTTGGAAATGGCTACGACTAACTAAGTACTAGTGATGTTTTTGCACGGACTGGTTTACCCGAGAGGTTAAGGAGGAAAACTTAAGATCTTCTACACCTAAGTGCTCATGGGTTAGAACCCTATAGCCAACAAAATTTATTTTAATGCATTTATTTATTAGATTTTATTCTTTTATACGAAACCTCAACTTTTTGGTAATTTTGTAAAAAAAACGACCACAAATTTTCATCATGCATTTGATAACTAAGTATTGGACGGATAAGGAAATGCTCATTTTCGTCTTCTTCATCCAGAACTCGGTTAAACTCATCTAATGAGCCCAACGTTTTCTGGTTTGTGTTTGGATACTAACTTAATAGTTGATACTCAATACAATTCAATGAAAAATATTCCAAGCCTTCGAACAACACATATTAGGAGTAGATCCCAACCCTTAAAGCTAATTAATTAGAAAATGTAAGACAATGTTTAAACTATTAACGGCATTCGATTTCGAACGTGCCAAATGGTGCCGTTGACCTATAATTCCTTTTTGCAACGAGATTCAGTGAAAATGCGGTGATTATCTACAGAAACAAACAGGAAGGCCAAGAAGCTAAGAACAAAACGAACACATACATGAACGCAGATGCACTTTCCATATAACCACAGTTCAAAATTACAAATTCATTTCTTATATATATCCAGAGATTACCCCCCAAATGCATTAAACCAAGGGCGCCAACCAAATCTTCCAGAAAATCCCGATCCTCAATCAGATCTCATTCTGTTGAGCTGGTTCAACGCCGGCTGCAAGATGTTGTAAAGCACCCACAGAATTGCCGGCGCCACCACAATCAACAGCAGCTGTCCTCTGCTGTCGCTCCCCTCCGTCGCCGCCGCAATCCTCCCAATCTCCTCCACCGCCGCGGACGCCTCTGGCGCCACCGCCATCCCTGCCGCCGCCAGCCCGCCGCTGAGCCCAAGCCCAACAACCAGCCCCTTGGACCGCATCCTGTTGATCTGGTTCAGCGCCGGCTGAAGGATGTTGAACAGGACCCACGCGATGGCGGGGATCAAGGGTAAGAGGAGGGCGATTCCGCGGTTGTCGCTGCCGGTGGTTTCGGCGAGTTGGGCCAGCTGCTGGGCCGCGAAGGCCGGGTCGGATGACCCGAGGGTGGAGAACACCGCGCCGGCGAGGGCAGAGCTTGCTGTTAGGGTTAGGGATTTGGGGAGGAGGTTGGGGATGGAGATTGAGGAAATGGGTTTGGGCGAGGGGTGGGTGAGCTTGGTTGTGGAAATGGGGATTTGGGTTTTGGTCTGGGATAGGCACTTGGCGTTGAGGGTTGCCAGGGTCGCCATTGCTGCTGCCATTTCTGTAGAATTAGGGGGTCTTTGAGATAGTTTTTCAGTTCTTTTGTGTGGAGAGTTGGGGTTGCTTGGGAAAGTGGTTTGTTTGGGTGAAAGAAGAAGGAATGAGGGCCAATGGAAATGTGATATTGTGGATTCTTCTCTTATCCGGAGAGGGTTAGGATTGGTTAGATATGGACCTCTGGTTTCTTGTACTGTATGACCCACTTCCACCAATCTCTTATCACTTCCCTACTTTTTCCTTTTGCTTTTGCCACCTCGGATTACAGGTCTAAGAGGTCGAGCGTTTGGTATACTATTAGATTGCCCCCATTTTTAACAATTTGGCTACAATGCTACCAACCTCAAATTTGGGAATCTCCATTTTATCCATATTTACATTTACTTAAATGTGTACTTATCGAAGCCTTAATATAATTCGTTAATGTTAATTTTTGTATAGTTCGTCATTATTTTAAGATACAAATTTTCCGATAGAATTTTTTCAAATTTCGAGACCGAATTTTTTTGGCGAAAAAATTATGGACCTAATTTTGGTTTACACACAACACTTGAAAATGATAAAGCTAAAGGAGTTCACATAATAATTTAAATGATACAACTTAGAGGTTACACGCAACACTTGCTAGTGGTAAAGCTTAAAAATAACACACAACACTTGAAATGATAAAGATGAAACACATAACATGTCAATAATCGCCCAGAATGGAACAGTAATTCCCGTAATCTCCTCCTCCACCTTCATCTCCTCCTCCACTCTCATCTCCTCCTCCGGTCTGACTTGCGTTGGATGAATAGTTAGGAACAGAGTTGGGATCATCTTGATCATATCCTAGAATCCGGTTTTGCTGAATTTTGTAATACCTCCTCTTTCTTGGTGTCAACTTCGACAAGTCCTTTTCAAGAAGATCAAGGTTGTCCCGAAATAGGATATAATTAGTTATTGTTGTTGCTTGGTATTGATGTTGGGATGCTTTGTAATTCAATTTAAAGTTGTAGTTGCTGACAATTTGATTTGTAATTCAAGACCGTATTTTCAATTCAATAATATATTTTCCATTCTTAGTTCGAATTATTTTTGTGTACACAACTTCTAGATAATAAGCATAATTTTAAATAAAATGAAGTCAATTTAAGTCATCTTAGGAAATAAAATAAATTAACCAAACTATTAAACACAAATTAAATAGACAACCTTCACTTAATTAATACAAACATTAATTCACTAACCTTCACTTATTAATTATATAACCATCATTAATAAACACTTAATGAAAAATTAAAAAAAAAAAAAGAAGGGCGGGACAACCGCCAGGGACGGGCGGTGCGGTTGTTCCGCCGCATCACCAATCTGCTCCCCCATCAACCCCCATAAATGCCGACTCCTCCATTTCCAACTCCATATTTGGAGACCCAAATGGAGGCCACCCCCATTAATGCAGATTATTCCTTTTTTGCAGGTTGCATTGGAGAGCTTCCTCCCCCATTTATGAAGGCTCCCCCATTTATGGGGGCAGCATTGGAGTCAGCCTTAGTAGAATTGATGTATTGTATATACTTGCATTGTAAATTGATGTATAATATAAATACTTGTATTTTAAGATTATATTGTTTGATAGTTGTGATTGTAATTTTAGAAATAAAATGTGAAAATCATTTTTTAAGTGAGAGGTCATGTTTATCCTTTTTTTTTTACATACAAGAGTAATAATGCATAAAAGTTGATAGGGATATAAAGGGAAAGCAAAATGGAAAAACAATTTCAAAACACAATCTCACAAATTGTTGAGATTGTAAATCTTTCATATTAAATGATTTCAAGTGTCACATCATCAATCAAATACATACATTGATTTCATTTTGAAACAAAAAAAAAAGATACATTCTATACAATACATGCATTTATTAAATGCATAATTTAGATACGCATGTACCAAACGACCCCTCAAATTCTAGTCAAATGGAATCTTGATGGTATAATTTGATTAATGGTTGTTTAGTTGGTGGATTTGATGATAGATGTTTATCCAAACATTATTGTTTGTTTAAAATATTTAGAGGCAATAAATTCGTGGGACTCAATTCTTTAAATGGAATTGATCTGAAATTTGAAGTTCATTATTTGTGATCAACATATCCCTCATATTTCCTCTCTTTCTCATATTGGAAAGGGCAATAAATGTCAATTTCACTTCATACGTACAAATCTAATTAACAAAATCCATCATGAAGTCTATGAAACAAACAATAATGTTTTCAAGTCCATTATGAACTCAAACCCCTCATATATCCATGATTTCAAAACCCAAGTTTTACCAAAACCTTCATTTTACAAATCCAGGAAGCAAACGACTCGAAAGTTTGCTTCATGGACTTTGTCCAAACTTCAATGTTTGCTTCATGTATTTAGGGGCAACATATTTGTGCGACTCATGGATTTTGATGGTACAAATTCGTGGGTCTCTCAAACTTAAAAATCTCATCCATTTAGGTGGAAATTGATCATAGACTTTGAATTCCATCATTTGTGATCGACCTACCCTTCATATTTTCTTTCTCTTCTCATACCAATGAGGATAATAAAGGTCAATTTAACTTCATACATACAAATCGAACTAACAAAATTCGACATGAAATCAATGAAATAAACAATGGTGTTTTCAAGTTCAAGATGAATCCAAAACTCTCATTTATGTATTTTTTCTCAAAACCCAAAATTTACTATGAAGAAGAAGCTCCCGAACCACTTCCGACCTAACTTCGGACACTCTTTCAGGAAGTGTCCCGGAATATCTAGGCGCCTCTGAAGTGAGAGGCATTTATCGCTGGTTCCCATGGTGAAAAATATCTAAACAACTTGAATGAGGGCTCAACAGTATGTTGACGACACTTCAGTTTGAACAAAATATGAATCAGGAATACGGACGGTGACAGGCGCCCAAGTGAGCAGTTGCACGTCGAGAGAATCCCTTCAAGTATCGAGTCTAGCGGGAACCTTAACCCAAACTGAAAATATTCCCGATAAATCCCAAGCCATCGAGGACCCACCACGCCTACTCTAGTCATGCGGGAAGAAGGCGCATAGGTCCACGTTCGGGGTAGACCACAAGAAGTTATTAGCCGCTCCATCTGCCTCACTTTCACCGACGATAGTTGTCGGGGTCCAGCTTCTTGCACAGACAATTGACTAGTCTGTAGGGGTGCATGACCAAGGGGCTAGGTATCAGCCCATTCTCTAATCTTATACGAGCCATCATCCAGGGCGCCTGAATCAGAGGAGGTCGGAGAGGTCACCATCTCAAACGACGGCGAAGATCTAGGCGCATGGCCTAAAACGGGCGATTCAAGCATGATACTATCAATTCCCAAACCCTAGGACGGAACACTAATCGGGCCCCTTCCAAGGCGAATCATTCACTACAAGGTTCGAAAGGAGAGTTATAGCTAGGGGTGGGCAACGGGAAACGTGTATTTGGGTATACCCGTACCTGTCCAGTTTTTTAAGGGTTACGGGTACCCAAATACCCATATATTTTTTAACGGGATGGAATTTGGGATCAACAATCACTTGGGTATTGCAGGTATCCGTTATACCCGTTTGGGTATTGCGGGTGCCCGTTATACCCATTAGTCCAAAAAGCCCAAAACTCATTAGTGCAAAGAAGGGATTCGACTAGAATTTTGGAGTCAAAGAACAAAGAAGGTGATGCTCCTGTTTTGGAGCCAAAAAACTAAAGAATTTGTTGCTGTTTTGACAGCTTCTCTTTCACTCTTTTAGTGTTCAGATTATGTGGTTTTGTACGTTTGTTTTATTGTGTAATTGTTTGTAGGTTTCTCATATTAGACTTTTAACTCTCCTTAATTGTATGATTTGTGTGTTCATGGTGATGGTGGCAGCTTCTCATTTTAGGTGGGTTTGTTTAATTGTGTGTTAAAACTTTTGTAGGTCTTCCACCAATTGAACGGGTATTTACGGGTAGTATGGGTACTCGTTATTCGTCCCGTACGGTTAATGGGTACCCGTTAACCCATACGGGTTTGGGAATGGGATGGAGATTGCACTCTAAATGGAATTGGGTACCAATTTCAAATGGGATTGGGTATCCCGTCTCGTCCGGTTGCCCACCCCTAGTTATAGCTAGAGCACTTACTCTAGTTGAGCGCCTCTGAAGCAGTAAGCGCCTGTTTCTTCGAGGCCTTGGTCGTCTCCACTGTGACAGGCGCCTCTTTCTCGATTTGCGTGGCCTCCACCGCATGCACGTCTTTTGCCATTGGCGCCCCCTTTTTCCCACGTGCCTGCTTCTTTTCCAGCTCTCGGTTGGGGTCGGGTGAAAAGTGTTTCTATAGTTCGGCGATGACGTCAACCGTGGCTCCCTTATCCTTCTCGGCATCACCGCTAGTTACACTTGACCTGCTTAGGACATCGTGAGTGGTGCGAATAAGAATGGGGCGCACAAGTAGCAAAGGTAGAGAGAGAAAGTAGAGAGATGAAGGCTTTTGTCTAGAGTGAGGAGAGCAAGCTGGATGATGATATTTATAGGGGTGAAGGGGAAGAGCCTCACCTCGAGATGTGTGCGCGTCGCGAGGTTACATCCTCATCGTTCGTTTGAAATTTGAATTTTCCGGATTTCAAATTTGAAATTTAAATTTCGAAGCGCCCGTAGACGGGGCAGGTGTAGGAGGCATGAAGGCGTGGGAGCCTATCAAAAAGAGGCGCACGGTGAAGTCCTGATCCGGGAGGATAGGCGCCCCTCTATGGTCGAATAGAGATTAAATGAGGGAGAACAAGGCGCCTACAAAGAAAATGACCCGTAAAATTCTGATCCTTAGTGCACAAATTTGTTTGCCAAGGCACAACCGCGCAAGTAATCATGGGTTTTGAGTCTGGATTAAATATAATTTTATTTTATTTTCAGTCTATGGATTCTTTTAGTAATTTAGTAAAGCTACAATGAACGAAACTCACAACATGTAATTAGATTCAGAGTGCTTTTAATTCGACTTTTCTTCTCAAGGTGCTTTTAATTTTGCACCAGATCATACCATGTCCACCACCCCCATTGGATGCTTAAGTTTTAACTTTTTGTATTCTGTAACTTCCAATTTAATTTAGCTAGAGATTGATGAAATCCCAATTACAAAAAGTCTCTCACCAATAGCTGCATTCCATGCCTAGAATAAAAATTCAATGATTAGTGTTACGATACGAGTCATTCGTTATAGTCTAGGGATTTCTGGGCTCATCTATTTTTAG